TAAAACTATGTAGGCCTAATGCAAATGATAAAGGAAACTACACTAAAATTCACCATGACAGAATAAAAATAAATAAATAAAACAGATGTTAGTTATCAAAAACACATGTCAAAAACATGAGGGACAACATTTCTAAAAACATTCAAGCTGTTTATTCTTACTTTGCACTTAAATGATGTGCACATTTCACGAGGAGGTTCATGCAATGAACAGCCACGATACCCATAGCCAGAAGACTTAAAGGCCCCACCTGCAGAATGAGAAGAGACAGAGAGCATCAAACCATTGATGAAGCATGTTTAATCAACTACAACTTTAATTAATTGGAGAAAAGTATTTTAAAGAACATGAATTTCAAACACAGCCCACCAGGAACAGTCTGAAATAGAGTGCTTTAACATGGCACTCAACATGTTAACACAGTTGGTCATGGCTCTTCTACTGATTTCAACTGATCTAATTATCTCATTTATAATGTAATGTATTGCTGTGATCAAAGCTGAATTTTCAGCATCATTACTCCAGTCTTCAGTGTCACATGATCCTTCAGAAATCATTCTAATATGCTGATTTGCTGCTCAAGAAACATTTCTGATTATTATCACTGTTGAAAACAGTTGTGCTGCTTCATATTTTTGTGGAAACTGATTTGACCAAATAAAGCAGATTGTTGAGAAAGTGTATGCGATTACTCTTCCATGTGACCAGAGTCATGATTTGATTTGGTGCATAAAATGGGAAGAAAAAAAATCTATTGAAAAATTTGAATTGACTTCTGTTCAAAAGTTTGGGGTCAGTAAGATATTTTCTAAGAAATTAATACATTATCCAGCAAGGAGGACACATTTATTTGATCTGAAGTTACAATAAAAACATTTATAATGACACAAAATATTTCTATTTCAAATAAATGCTGTTCTTTTGAACTTTCTATTCATCAAAGAATCCCGGAAAAAAAGTATCATGGTTTCCACAACACAACACAACTGTTTTCAACATTGATATTAATAATAAAAGTTTCTCGAGCAGCAAATCAGTATATTAGAATGATTTCTGAAGGAATATGTGACACTGAAGACTGGTGTAATGATGCTGAAAATTCAGCTTTGCATCACAGGAATAAAATACATTTTAAATAGTAATAATATTTTCATATTATTACTGATTTACTGTATTTTTGATTAAACAAATGCAGCCTTGGTGAGCAAAAGAAAAAGACTTATTTAAAAAAAAAAACTTAACTAAGCTTTTGAACGGCAAAATCTTGGGAAGAGATAATTAAATATTGAATTATTTAAAATTAAAAATGAAAGTTATACTTAACCTTTTTTGTTTCCTTAAACTGCAACAAGACAGCATTTTTAGTTACTCAACAATTCTTACTTGTTCTTGGCGAGTGTTAATTCTGCACCCTGACTGTAGCTTCTCTCTTTTTATTAATGAATGCATGTACTGTATGTGCTGCTCCTGTGAGCTTTACATCACCTGACAACTGTATCAGACAACTGCATTCTCTCTTCAAAAACCAAAACGTGTCCTAGGTGTGCAAGTTCTTAAAAATCACAAGACTTACGGAAAAGATAGATTCGCGGCTTTTGAGAATCGATATCGAATCGATGTAATTTAAAAAATCGATTAATCGAAAAATCTATTTTTTTGCCCAGCCCTACTTACGAGAAACGTGAGAAACGAAAATGAAAGGCTGACATGATATTGACATAAGTAGATCATGTTCAGATAAGTACATACTACAGCTGCCACAATCATACAACAGGATAAAATCTCAAAGAGCAGCATACATGTAACTATACACATTTTAAAGCAATGATGTGCTTTTATTAAAGGCAACCAGAACACAAGACCAGAACATTTAAAAATATAACATCATGAGCGTTTATCTCCAAATTAAATTTTCTGTCCTACCACGAGTCCTGCATTCTTGACAGCCAGAGGCAAGCCGAGGAGTCCCGTACCAATATTTCCTTTAAGTAAATGAATTAAGGTCTGAAAAAACCTAAACAAAAAACATATTAACGAAAAATTAAAAACAGGTCTATGAACATGAAAGTTTTAAAAGGTGATCACAGTGCTTACGAGGATCCTGTTCTTCCTCCGATTCGTTCATACTCTGTCTGTCGTGGGGAACCGGGTGAATGGATGGGCTCATCTTCAGCAGGGCTCTCATCTCTTCTAGAAAAGTCTGGGTCTAGGATCAACACACAATTATAGCTTTCACATAATCTTAAACAATGAACAAAAAACACATACGCTACCCTTCAAACGTTTATGAAAAAAGTCTCGTGTGTTCTTCAAAGCTGCATTTATTTGATCAAAAATTGAGTAAAAACAGTAATATTGTAAAATATTGTTACAATTTCAAATAACTGATTTCCATTTTAATATATTGTAAAAATGTAATTTATTCCTGTGATGACAAAGCTGAATTTTAAGCATCATTACTCCAGTCTTCAGTGCAGGGTTATTATTGTTAACAATATAGACACATTTAAAAAAAAAAAAAAAAAAAAGGAAAAATTAAACCTTCAAAAATTACTAAAACTTCAAAATTAAAATGAAAAGAGAAACAGTAAAAATAAAAACAAATTCAAATAATAATAAAAAATATTAATCTCTCAATCATACATATAGAAATCATTCTAATATACTGATTTGCAGCTGAACAAATATTTTTGTGGAAACCATGATACTTTTTAATCATTTTTGATCAATGTCTTTCAAAAAGAATCTTCAAACTTTACTGTATGTTGTTTGTTAATTTATTTATGGCATTATCTTTTACCAGTTTTATTTATTTATTTATTTTAAGCTTAGCCACAGAAAATAAAGGTCACAATCAGTGTCACATAATGAAAAGGAAATTGGTTTACCATCCTGATGGTTGATATCTGAGGCCATGCTTGCTTTGGTGGGGTGTAATTCGCCACTGAGAGCTTCACTGATCAAAAGCTGCCCTGCGGAGACGCTGCATCTACAGGCTCTGTGATCGCAGACAAATGGACAGATTTAATAGCCCTCCCAGAACACACCAATGACGCACAGTGTGCCCTTTCTGCGTCATTATATTCGGTATCATCTCTTGGGGCTAAAAACAATATGAGGATTTCAAATATGCCAAATGGTAGTATGCAGTCAACATTAGTTATATCTGACACTTTAATATATAGCTGTGAGAATTTCACAGAGCAGCTCAAATTAACTACTGCATCATTCACAGCCACCATCTGTATTATTACGCATGTAGAGAAACCGATTATGAATTATTAATGTTTTGTCAAATATGCTTTTTATGTCAGCTGTAAACACTACTATGTTTTATAGTGCTGAAGACAGGGTGCTCACAAGAGGGTGAAATACACCAGCTGTACGAGTCAAAAAGATATCACAACTATTCCAAACCACATATTTGCGGAACTAAATATTCAGCCACTGAACAGTAAAAGCTAACTGACATTAAAACACACACACACAAAAAAGACTTGGCTTTTACTAAAACGTAATTCCCCCATCACACAATATAATTATAACTTGAAGCTGTGAATGTTATAAGTTTAAAAAAAGAAAGCTTGATTCTTTTGCTAGTTATGTGCGCATGAACAACCATGGTATTGTATGATAATGCAAAGCAGCTCTATTCAGTAGTCAAATCTAAAATCAATGTTTGACTTTGGAGTGGCCACTGCTTTGCCTTGAACACATTTCCCATTGACTACTTAATGTCTTGGTATGTAGAAGTCAAATCAATAGAAATACAGATCAATGGAAAAGAAAAGCCTTTCATGACCATGCAGTTCACTTGTTATTGGTGCAGATTTAATAAACAGGTTGCATAAAAAAAACATGCTCTAAATAGAAGCCTTAATCAACAAAGTAAAACTACATTTCTTAGTTTGTAACTGTTTGAGCAGCTTAAGATTTCAGAAAGGACACTGACATGCTGGACATGCAAAGTTGTTTTACTAAGCATTGTAACATTGTGCAATAAATAAGGTCCCATTTGTTAACATTAAAACATGTATTAGCTAGCATGACCTAACAGTAAATAACATATTTCTTAAAACATTTATTAATATTTGTAAATGCTAGTAAAATGTTCTATGTTAGTTCATTCAATTAATGTATTAACTAATAACAATGTTTGCTTTTAAAAATATATTAGTACATATTGCAATTCACACTAATATTAATAAAGGGTTTAGAAGTATTGTTCATTGTTAGCTCATGTAAACTAATATTGTTAAGTAACGTTAACAAATTAAAGCTTACTGTAAAATTACCAAGCATAACCAGGTAAGAGCCACATATACTGAATACTGTATAATAACTTACATGTATGTTTGGATCGATCACGACAACAACCCGTAAAGAGTAAACTCACAAATAGCAATAATTTCATAAATAACCAGTGATATGTCCTTTAGCCTTCGGCAGTCACTGCTGTCACAACAACAACAACAACAACTGTGCTGTATGCTAATGTAGCTAATGTCGTGCTACATGAAACGACAGATTTGTACTTACAGTAAGCACAGTTAAGCGATGTACACCTGCTATATAGACCTCATAAAGTCCATATCTGAACCCGGGCGTGCTATGACAGCTCAGAAGCGGACAGATAAGCTGACATGCTATGATTTGAAACGGCACTCCTCCAGAGATTGCGTTTATCCGCGTCTCCAGTCACATGACCATCAACACCGTGTCGGTCAGCTGATTTCACTTCTGTTCAGCAAACCAACAAACATTACTAATAATTCTGTGTTTCTGATTTTAAAATCAAGAGTTTAACTTTTAAATTTTATTCACATGACGTGTTGCGTCTTTGACAAAAATAAAACGAACGTAAATTATGTTAAAACAATGTCGCAAGCGAATCTGCTGTAATACTTCAAACCACACAATTTTATGTTATATTTTATTTTATTGTATTTTATTGTTATATTTTATTTTATTTAAATGTATGATTTTATTTTCTGGCAGCAGGGGGCGCGTCGAACAAAAGGGATCATCTAAAAATTAAGTATATGTATTTAAACGCTTGTTTCTCCAGAAATAACTTATTGATTCGTAAAACAAACCTAATAACTAGTAAAGTACAGTCTCTCGCAATATGTGCTCTTTTCTGGGTAGATTACTTACAAATTGTAATCCGTTACTGATTCCAAATTGCATGGCAAAAATTTGTAACATAATCCATTACATTAAAGGGGTCATATGACGTTGCTAAAAAGAACATTATGTTGTGTATTTGGTGCAATGCAATGTGTTTATGCGGTTTAAGGTTAAAAAAACACATTATTTTCCACAAACTGTACATTATTGTTGCTCCTCTATGCCCAGCCTTTCTGAAACGCGTCGATTTTTACAAAGCTCATCGTTCCGAAAAGCGAGGTGTGCTCTGATTGAGTATGGCCCCTTACCATATACTGTGATGCCATCTCCCGGCAGGACGAGACAAAACCAATAAAACCCATTACAAATGAGTCATTTGTTGCATCCAGTGGGAACATAATTACTGATTACAATGACTTATACTGTCTTTTTTCGCGTTGCGTACCGCCCCGCGTAAACATAAAACCATGTCTGCATTTGTGATCGGAGAAATGACAAACAACAAGCCTACTCTACACTGCTTAAAGGGGTCATATGATGCGATTTCAATTTTTCCTTTCTCTTTGGAGTGTTACAAGCTCTTGGTGCATAAAGAAGATCTGTAAAGTTGCAAAGACTAAAGTCTCAAATCCAAAGAGATATTCTTTATAAAAGTTAAGAGTCAACCACGCCTACCTAAAACGGCTCGTTCTAACACACCCCCACATACCTACGTCACGATCTCGGAAGATTTGCATAACGCCGCCCAAACGTTCACGCAAAGAAAGAAGGCGTAACTTATATTCTCGCTGTAGTATTGTTGTTGCCGCCACCGCCATGTCGTGAAGGCGCTGTGTGTTTCGTTGTGAAAGTGAAACTACTTTGTATGGCCTTTCAAAAGAGGACGATATCTGCTTCGTCATGCCTGGAGCTGATCCGTGCTGGTAACTGAGGAAATACATCAACATCGCGCTGTGCATCGCCGGATCGGCTTTCACCGTGGACGAAGCGAAGTCCAGCATTGTGCGAGCTGTCTCTTTAATACCGCGTGGTTTATATACATGTTGCTGCTGATTGAGCTGACATTTTTGACACACCCACCAAACAAGAGAAAAGGTATATATCTCAAACCCCGTTGCACACCGTTTCCAGGAAACATGTCGTTCAAACCGGAAACCGTAGCAAAACGTTGCGCACCGGTTTGAGCTTGAACTTGCCCCAGACCAGAAAAAAGCAAGCTGAGTGGCCTGGCATATCCAATCTTACTTTTCAATAATAAGGTTGATAAATCAAAAAAAAAAAAATGCACATTTAGAAATGATTCATAACCCATGTCTTGATGGCCTCTGTGAGATAAAATGCTGATTTTGCTAAATAATCCAGATAGTTGTTCAGGTTGTTACTTTTTTTTATGAAATGTATGTTTTATTGATGAAATTGATTGAAATTGATGTTTTAATGTAATTCAAATTGATGTTCTAATGTAATTTAATAGCAATGGTACACTGTTACATTAAAATTAAATATAATTAAATGTGTTTTATCAGAAATGTCTCTATTTCACTTTGAAGTTTGACTGGCCCATTTTTGCTGATCAGCCGGCCCATTTTACCTCAACACTGCTATTTCAAAAAATGTGGGGCAGCTAATGTTTCAAAATCTGTAGGGCCTGAACAATTATATTTTATTACATCAATTCAACACAAAAATATTAAAAACGGTCCTTATTAATCATAAGAACACGGTTAAATGTTGTACATGGGTTTTTTGTTAGTGTCCCAAGCGATTAACCAAAAAGTGGCCCAATTTACCTGATATCACCCTAGTTAATGCAAAGTTGAAATACCTGAAATTATTTTTGTAAATTCAGTGGTCAAATGCTGTATATCCACCTGACTAGTGACTGTCCACAAAACTGGAAGACTTTCTGAATGTATATAAGCGGTAGGCTAATTTAAAAAGAAACATTTAAAAGATGAAAAAAGAGGAATTAGGGAGAATCAATAAATTATGTATAATTTATTGCTATTGTGTGAATCATGGGCGTTGCTAGGCCACTTTTAGGGGGGCTATAGCCCATCTAAAATGAGTACTCAGCCCCCCTAAAAATTTTGCGATCAGCTCCATAAACTGTACATGAATTCGTGATCGCCTCAGTCCCCTTTAAATTTCATATGAAAACAGTGGCAGAATTCGGCTCCTCCCCGTCTTTCAGCGCGTTCTTCAATAAGCAGACCGCGGCGGCGCAGAGCGAGAAACAGAGGGCAAGGTGTGTGTTTATCGATAGATTGTTATAATATCTGCAACTGTACAGTTCTTTGTCATAAATACAGTTTACAAAATATCATGGGGGAGCAATCGGTTCCCCATCTACTGTAAAATTTCGCTGCGTTTCCTCATCACACTACAGCTGTTTCCTCCAGCAAAAATGAAACCGCATACTTTATGAAACGATCACGTTGCCATTTTCATTTGAAAATTTAACTTTCAATATAATACATATTACAGTGCATGTGCGAAGAGGTTTGCATACTTGAGCTAAAAAAAGAGGGTTGTACTAGAAAAGCAAACAGTAAAATGTTGTGTTTGTAACTACAGTAAACAGGTGTGTGTGTGAGATCAGGAAGGCTTATTCAGTACTCAAATGTTATACCTATCTAAGCAATACAGTGGAATACTGCAATACGTTTAGTAAACCATCCCTATTAGTCAATATTATTTATATATTTATTATTATTTTGTATTATTACCCTCATTGGGGGCTGAGCCCCCTAAAATGAAAATCATAGAATCGCCCCTGGTGTGAATAATATGTAATCATGTAATCAATAAAAAAGTAACTGTAGTCTGATTACGAGTATTTTGAAATGTAATTTAATAGTAGGTACTGTACGTTTACTTAGTAGTTCAAATGAACGCTTTGTAAGAAAATAGTAATTTAGTGATGGTCCCTAAACTAAACAGCGCGTGACTGTACAGCAAACAGTGTCGCAAAAGCGATTCATTTGAGCTTGCAGCGACAATCTGATCGATCATGACGGTATTTTCACATTTTATTTAAAATCTAACTCACAAAGATATGTTTATATTTTGCTTGCTAATTTCTGGGCATCCAAAATCACTTTTTGTTTAGCATAACTCCCCAGACACTTGGCTTTGTAGCTAGCTGGTGAATGGTGATCGATTCTCTTATAGAACTGAATCAAAGATGTTTTCTTTTCTCATGACAGACTCACCAGTTTTTTGTGGACATGATATGTGAAGGATGCTCTGGTGCGGTCACTCGAGTGCTTACAAAACTGGGTATGCTTTTGAATATTTCAGATTTCAAACAGCTTCAAACACAGTCCTGCTGTAAGACAGTTGAACAGTTTTTGATTAACCTGTCAAAACAATTTCAAACCTGATATTTGTGAAAGTTAAACTACTTTGGTTAAATGCATCAAAGTAAACTAAAAAAAAGTATCTTTTTTAGTAGATGTGCTTAGTCATAGTTCATAGTTCAGTTGTGTTTCTCAACAGATGTCAAGTTTGACATTGATCTGCCCAACAAGAAGGTCTTCATTGAGTCGGACAAAGACGCGGATGTCCTTCTGGAAACACTGAAAAAGACTGGCAAAGCTGTGACCTACATCGGTCCGAAATGAAATATTCTACATTATAAACTCTAAGGTGAGAAGCAGCTGTTTGAAATTCAAATGAATACTTTTGTTGTTAACTGAAGCATTATCTCGTAGAAATATCTTTTGATTCAATATTAGTGAAGTGTCATAGTGTTTGCCATAGAAAAGCCCTGAAGTTTTCAGTCTTGTGATCAGACAAGATTTACTTGAAAGTCCAAGTTTTTTAATGTTACGGTGTAACAATGGTTTTATGATCAGTTTCCATCCTCCTGATAAGCTCGCACAAATCAAGTGTTGTCTCTGCTTTTGTATATTTTAATACCGTAATATAGCCTATCTGGATATATTGGTTCTTATGAGTGCATGGCCTTTTTTGCTTTCAGGTAGTGAAGCTTTTATTGTCATTTTTATTCTGATCCTCCTCATGGTGAAGATCCTGCAACACACAAATATTGCATTTGAAATTACCTAAAGTGGACTTGTGTTCAGCTCTACTTTGGTTCTTTGAAATATGTTTTAATAGGTCTGAATCATGCTGCTTTGAAAATTATGACATGGGAATCCCTCATTGGACCGTATATCACACATCTGACAAATTATGACATATCTTCGGGACCACTGAAGGACATCTGTTCAGCAGAGCCTCATGAAGAGCAGCTACCAGGCTGATTTATATCATCTGTATTATGAGAAGGTTGAAATCTAACCGTTAACAATGTGGTTGTTTTTCGGCCACACATACTTGTAATTGTATAAGTGTCTAGAACTTAAAATAAAGGTTCCTGTATTCACTGAGAGGAAAGAAAAACTGTGTGAGTGTTTGGCTATAACCAGTGTTATTTTAGTTTAAATTAAAATACGATTATAGTTATTATTAATATTTTGAATTAGATTACAGTTTAAATATTTTCATAAGTTTTTGTTTTCTTTTAACAATAAGTTTA